TCTCTGTATCTATGTCTCTCTCTCCGTCTCTGTCTCTGTCTCTCTCTCACACACACACACACACACACACACACACACACACACACACACTCACTCTCTCTCTCGCCACTAACATATTTACTCACACAGACAGACAGACACACATCACCATCTCCAAAACCATCTCAGACATCGGCCCCCAATCAAGCCCTCATAATAGGACACAAAACAAACAGGAGATTCATTTGCCCGGAGCAAGGGCTAGTTAATTATTGTCCAACTAAATGGTCAGAGTCTCCCTGGTCGGCAAATACTCGGAGGTCTTCTCGCTCGCACGAGACAAACACTCATCAATATTTATCCAGGAATTTTTAGCGGAATTTTACAAGGAGCTGTCAACAGAAGAAGTGGAGACATATTCAATATTCCCTGCCCCCTCAACACGCAATGGGCGATTAGAAAATATAGGAGAGGAATAAGATATTTTGTCTGATACTAAAGCCTGTTTTGGTTACTCAGAATGTGCGGTAGAGCAAAAAGAAATCTGGGTGTTAAGGACAAGGGTCTTTTTCAGGGAGACCAGATTGGTGGTCAAATACTGACAGAGAGAGGAACGGATAGTATTTCAATAGAGTTATTAGCCCACGAAAACAGAGGAAAGGGATACTTTTTTGCGATGGAGAGAAAATGAAGAGGAGTGCCCGAGAGGCAGATGAAGAAGTAAAAAGAGACAGGGTGGAAAAGATGAGCACGAATGAGAACGCATATCTGTCCATCCGTGTGTGTTCACGTGCCAGTAAGGCATTACGGTATGCCTGTGGTTCTGTCCACTTTCCGCTTAAACAATAATTCTCATCCTCCAACTCTGTCTGTCTGTGTGCTTGTCTGTCTGTCTCTCTCTATCTTTATCTCTTTCTCCCTCCTCCCTCCTCCCCCCCTTTCTTTCTCTCTCTCTCTCTCTCTCTCTCTCTCTCTCTCTCTCTCTCTCTCTCTCTCTCTCTTGCCTCTGTCCTATTGGAGGCGACGTATCACTATTAGGAGTCTCTCCTCTTACAGGACCTGGCTTAGAGTGTTAAAAACGAAGTTTAAAAAAGTATCTGAGACCTCATTGAGCATTTGTGTGTTCCTCTGAGAGTCTCACCTATTAAATATCCTTACTTAGAGTGACGCAAAAACATACAATTATCGAATCTATGAGACCTCATTAAGCATCTGTGTGATCCTCTGCGAGTCGACGTGCATCTCCTCCCTCTGTCTCTCACACTGGTCCACCAGGTTCCCAATGAGCACGGTGAGGGGCCGCTGGTGGAGGGACGGGTCGAAGTGTTCTAGACAGTCGATCATCTGGGCGCTCAGTCGCTCTAGTTGGCGTATCAGGTCTTCTACCTGGGAGGTTATGTGGTAGAAGTGTATGAAGGAAGGAAACCTGGTCGCTTTTAATGACAAGCGGGCGAACCCAGATTTCGGGGATTTCCAGAAGTCTTGACCTACAGCAAAAGTGGGCATTGCCCTACCTATAGGAGAAGTTTGGTTTCATTGGAGTGTACATTTGTTTGGCTATAGAGAAAACTCTCCTTGTCTTTTAAAGAAACTGAAGAAGGGGTTAAAACTTTACCTTCGATTTTCTTAAAACAGCATTTTGTGCTTAAAATTGACCATATATT